AAACTTTTTCATATCTGGCGCACTCTCTGTCTTATATTTTAAGCACGTTCTATCATCGGTTACTTTTAGCACCAGAAATCCGGTTTTATGTGAGTAGTCCACTACATAGCGGGTCTAATTGCCAAACAATGGAAGTTGAGGTTCGCAGACTGTAGATGGGTAAGAAAGCGCTAACGTGGACGTAAAAGTCCTTCCTTGAGTCAAACTTACTTGGCCAGGAGCATTGAGATATAAGTCCTCGACTGCTTTTTGAAACTCTGGCCATGTAGATATGTAAACCATAATTGATTTAAAGGTTGTAATTATAAGCAAACATAATAATAATAATACCGAACGATAATCATACGGAAATAAGTCACGTGCAGATCTCATTATCGTCGCACACACCTTTATTAATGGACCTCCTTTATAGTGGAGACTAATCAAAATCGCGATACAGTGGATAGAGGTTCAAACCCATCTATAATAAATTCTATCCGATATAGTGTATTTACTAATTAATTTTCAAAAACTTTCGATATGGTGGTTTTTTACTAATAGATTTTTTTGATACACTATAAAGAGCGTCATTGTGTATATCACGATTATGACCCTTATGGTTAGCCTCTATTCCGCTATTCGCGACAAAGCCGGTTAGTTGCTGTAAAGGATCCGAATATGGAAACACGACAATTAAAATTTTGCTTCAGAAACGTCTTGCATTAATAGTTATTGTCAACCCACGAATTTAGTTTATCAGTAAGTGCGCGCTGCGGGGAGTTACTTAGGCGTAACACAATTCATTTATATGTCAAAAAATGTTCTTTCTTTTATTAACATCACAATGAGCGAACCAAATAATATAAACAACGACTATTGTTATACACGTCAATTATCTTACCAGGAGGACTTTAATTTGAGGACACCAACCCTCCAATTCAAAGCCCGTTAATACAGTCCCAACCTCGTATCCAAGATCTTCTGCTACTTTCTTTTCTCACTCCGATAGTATGTCGACGAACAGTATGGACTACGGAGATAGCGGAACTTATACGGACGACTATGCGTTGTATCAAGATAACACACCAAATGAACTATTGAATGCACTTCGCAGTCAAATCGAAACCCATGCAAACAGTCATGGGACATGTTACAGTCGAAATGTTGCGGTCATGCCGATCATGATTCTTTATATACTGTATGTATATTAATATTATTTCTGTAATAAAATAAACGGTTTATTATAATTAAAAGTATGTTTTTAAACACATGATTTTCGATAAGTCGGCTTTCTCGATAAGTCAGCCATTTGAGGTGGGATACTGCTGGCCGACTTATCGAGACCGACAGTGTATTAATGTATTGACAGGATACACTATTAACGCATATCATTATTGAATTATGAAATAAACTTGGGGCTTTTTTTTAAAAAAAAACTTGACGTTATTAGTGTAATAAACAATAAAAAGTGTCGAGTTCATAGTGCATATGAACACCAGGTCCGTGTAACGTCTTTCTCGGAGAAAAAAGTGAAATCCCGACGACCATGGTTCTCGAATAAGTGTCACAAACATTTGTAACGGTCATTCTTTGTACATGGCAATATGATAATTGGAGTACCAATAAAGTGAAAGGACTATAATGCTAAATTAGATGATTATAATTGTTATTCAAAAACACGATTATATAATTAGTTCTCAAGTGTTTTGTTGGGGTAGATTTTAAGAACAACCACACGATTTATTAACCTTTGTATCAACAATCAAGAAATCTTGCCGACCACAACCTTTCACGCGAAATGAAACCCACCCACGTGTGATATTATATACTGTTAACATTGAATCAAATTGATTTAGCTATGGCAATATTATGAAAACTGCGTAACGTGCCATTAATTAAATGATATACAACAAATATGTCTTTATGTGAAATGGACATGTACCACGGCGATAAATAAAGTTTATCTAAGTAGACCCGATACGTATTTGAATAGGGAAGAGTTGGTTTAGAATAGTTGAATATCGAATACAACTAATTGTCAAATAGGCTCCTGTCTCTAGATCACCAAGACGTTTTTACAATTTGGTTGATTAGTATAACAATCTCTATATCACTGCTATACATGAATTGTAGTCATTTATTTAACACCCAAAACATCTAATTATTGCAATTTGCAATCTTTTAGCGGTGAGCTCGTTTTTGATACTAAGGTTCAGTAGTTGTGCATTGACCGTTGTCAAGATGCGCCTCATGTTCTGCATCTTGTCCTCTGTGTTGCCCATCCCTAACATCAAAAGAGGTAATCGTACTACGATATTTGAAACTGTCATTCTTTTTTCAAGATAAGAACTTCTTTGAGACTCATATCACAAAGGTGAGGAAGCGACGAATCAGCAGTTAAAGAAAAACACCGAAAATTTACTTACTTGGCTCAACAGTTAATTGAAAAAGTAGATTACAAACTTGATAAAAAAGATAGAGAAGTCTGGCTAACCACAAAAGGCGTCAAAAAAAACGAGGAGTGGGGCAGCTATTGCTGGTTCTTCAATGGTGGGACGACGGAGCAAGACATAATACAGGCTTTTTTGGCTGGTTGGGTAAAAGAAATTGATCAAGAAGTGAAAAAGTTATTTAGGATGCTATAAATGCTGTGATTTTAGCTAATACAAAAAAGAACGTTATTTACAATATATATATATAGCGAGTGAAAACACAAAAAAATCGTCGATTTCTCTTTTTTATTACTACCACAATGAGCGAACCAAATAATATAAACAACGACTATTATTATAATTTTGAGGACACCAACCCTCCAATTCAAATGCCTGTTGATGTACAATCCCAATCTCGTATCCAAGATTTTCTCCCTTCTTTCTTTTCTCACCCCGATAATATGTCAACGAACAGTATAGACCACAGGGATAGCGGAACTTATACGGGCGACTATGCATTGTATCAAGATAACTTTTCGGAAGACGCTCATCAGACACACCAAATGAACTATTGAATGCATTCCTCCGCAGCCAAGTCGAAACCCATGCAAACGGTTTTTGTCCGATCCCAGCATCTTTTCAAACACTTTATGGTCCCTCCGTACATATGTTTCATACAGTCTTATACAAACGCCCACGAGCAACGAGTACATTGTTATGAGAGAAGAGCGAATTCAGTCAATGGTCGGCTGCTTCGAGCGTTGGTGAAATGTTAGCTTTAAACTCGAATGTGGGAAAGTAAATTAAGGATAGTTATATATCATGTCTTAAAGTAACAAGGCTTTTTTGTATTCGAAGATATTGTATTTTTATTGTTTATAGTCATTATTAATATTTTATTAAACTTGACAAGGATGTAACGCCATTCGTTTTCACGGTTTTGCATTAGCAGACTTGTTGATATGTGATGTGTAGATGAGACGATTTAATTTAACCTGTACAGACTATTGACAGACTAATGATGACTACGGTTAAAACGATTAGGCTAACCAGCGATAAACATTCTATCTCTGTTTACCACACATCATTATTGAAAATTTAATTATTGAACTGGACAATATTTATTGCGCTTAAGTCATATAAGGTTGATTAACATAGCCGTCAGATTAGTGAAATTGTCCGTTTAGTTAGTTTTAGTTAGTTTTAGTTAATAGTATAAGTGACGTATATTGACTAGTCAAAACACCTTATCGAGGTATTGTCATGTTTAAATTAGAATAGTTTCCTTCGATTCAGTATAATTCGTAAATCCCCTACAAACGTTGGATTATGTTGAGTATAGAAATTAGGAAGCGAGCGCAAACAATTAAGGAAACGTTACTTGTAGTTTAGAATTCAATCTTAATTGACTTTCACTGTAGTAAGGACAGCGATAGCTGAGCTAATTGAGTAAAAATTTCCCTGTCGGCCGAACCACCTATAGTTCTCTCCCACAAATCTCATCAAATACGCCGACCGTAATAGTTGCATCAAATCATGCTGTTCGTTTGTTCGTTTGTTCGTTTGTTCGTTTTTCAATCAATGTTGTGTCCCTCACTGCGCTTTAACGGAATAGTAATACTATTAGATAAGCTGGCAAAAAAAAAAGACTTAAACCGCTAACATTGCAATTTCTTTGGCGTAAGTGAATTTAAAATAAATTGATTATTTTAACTACTTGTATATTACCTGTCTCAATGACATTTTTTTGTCTGTAAAAATATAAATTTTTAATAAATAATTGATAATAAAATAGCTGACAGTAAAATAGTCTTAGTATAATGTCTAAAAATAACATCAAATTGAGTATCTACAAACAAGTTTACTAATAGCCAATTTTTTTTTCAAATTTATCACTTCGGCCAATAATAATGTGAATTTATATATATATTCTTTGATCTTACAAGTGGCAATATGACTCGTCTAGAAAAACGCTTGACCAGAATTTTCCTTGCAAGTTTTCAAACTGACATTTAAATAACAGCCTCAAAAGACAACATTTCCGGGAGACATGTGTTAGGATGTCATTCACCGCGGCCATCGTGTTAAATAGGGGAAACAAAAAATGTTCACAGTCATAACGAATCTATGTATGATTAACAACATTATTGTCCAACAACTAACAATATTGCATAAACAAAGAATGCGCCATTTATCATTTACTACGCAGAATTAAGCAGTCGGTTTTATATTGTGTCAATACTAATGGCAAATTATTATTATTTAAGTAAAAATCAGAAATAGATATCATACTGCAACGTTATTGTGCCGTATGTATATCAACTACATTTCAGTTCAGTAATATTTTGGCAACTTGGGGTGTAAATTTAAGATTAAACTTCAAAGCAGGGTAAGCGATTTCAACAAATGTTGTCCGTCACAAACAGTCAAATAGGATGACTTAATTACTAAAAATTACACATTCTGTAGATCAAGCTCATGTATGTACGATATGTTGTTTTTATTCCTTGCGTAAAAATCCATTATACGGTGATATGGATATATACACGTAAGTTCCCTCTGTTTACAAACGAATAATGATCGTGTTCCTCTCCCACTTACTACAAGGCAAGGCCACTGGCACAGTTTACAAATTTGAAGAGCCAATGACGTATTTGTATATGAGTATTCATGATACACATGGGCGCACGTGAAGTGACACACTATGTTGTAGTATTCTATCATTTATTTATTATT